CTTCGGTGCATAATCCGCAACCTCCCTTCACGATTTGTATCGTAGGGTCGACCTTCGCCTTTAATCGATAACCTACCTTGTAGATTGGTATCCTACCTTCAGGTGCGCTTCTCAGATGAAGCTGCACATGATCTCCTAACTTAGAACAAGATACCACCAACCTTGGTGTAGAACCCTGGAGGACCAACCATCTCTCCGAATGCATAGATGTCAGCATCCACAATTTTGCCATCTCTCACAGTGAAAGTGAACTCAATGTTCTCATCTCTCACTGTCTTACCAGTTGGCTCCACAGGAGGATAAGGGCCAAAGAAGTATGGCGCTCCTGTGTGCTTTCCAATCCCATAGTAGTCCTTGGCCACCACAACAATGCCAGGGTTGTTTCTGTTAGTGGAAGGGCCCTGAACCTTCAAGGACTTGCAAAAGAAGTGAAGATCAGGAAAGGAGGCAAAGAGATCCACCAGGGATTCATATAACTCGTGAGCTGGCATCTCAGTTTCAGAATCTGTGAATGTGAAGCGGCAATTCTCAGTAGTCAGTTCCTGGCACTTTTCCAAGTTGTGCTCATCCTTGGCTCGGATCCACTCTCTCACAACTCGGAGCTCCTTTGGGGCATCAGAAGGAATGGGGTCTTCCTGGGACAGTGCAGTTCCGCTGTGTTCGGAACCGGTACTCAGCATGGAAGCTGTGGCCGATGCCCTGGTAGGATCAGTTTTGGTAGACCTGTGCTGCTTCTGGTTGGAGGAAGAAGAGTTGGTCTTCTTGGTCTTTTTGAAGATGGAAGAAAGGAAGCCCATTGTTGGATGGAGTGGTTTGTTGGTTGGGGGAGCTGTTGGGGGTTAGGAGTGATGAGTGATAGTCGAGTCCTCGAAATTGTGAGCAATGAGGAGAGCAAGAAGAATTGCAGCTCGCAAAAAACTATTAATAGCAAGTCACCCATGCTGGAAACTAGCTATGTGGTAGAAAGGCTCAAAGTAAGCGGCAAAACAGTCATACGGTAATTGTTAGAGAACATGGGAGTATTCCGTGTAGCAGTCGTATATAAGGTGCAGTCGTACGAAAATAGAATGTATAGTGAAAATAGTACTCGAAGTGCTCCGAGTCAACTCGAGTGGCAGTCATAGACAGGGTGTGGAACTCACATGAAATACACGCTGCGTGTACTCGATGTGAGTACGGGTATTGAGTACTGAGTATACTCAGTACCCATACTCACATGACCTCCGAAAATGTGAGTATTACTCAATACCCGTACTCACATGACTCCGGATTTTGAGTACTTTTTGAGTCTTCGGTGAGTACTTCGGTGAGTACTTCGAATTGAGTACCAGTGAGTACTCGGTGAGTATTTTGTGAGTACCGAGTGAGTATTTCGCCAACTCGCAGCCCCATATATTTCCCATTTTCTCACTTTGAGCTTGATTGAAGCTTTGAGCTTGTTCATTGAAGCTTTGAAGCCACTGTTGACTCTAGCCACTCTTTTCTTCTATTCTGTTGTCTCTTCTGTTGTCACCATGGCTGTATCTGATGTGGAGGATGATGACATCATGTCACAGGAAGAGCTTGAGCAAGCTGTCAATGGAGCTGGTGAATTGGAAGAACCGGAACAAGAAGAAGAAGATGATATCGAAGAAGCTGCAGCTGCCGATGATACCATGGCCGCGGCAATGGGAACTGATTTGACTGCACAGTACGTGGAAGCCAAGAGTATTCCCACGCTCAAATAACGAAGTTTTATTATTTAGGCTGCACCTCAATAGACCACCCGCTGAACGGAGCCATATTGAACCGGAGTACCTCAGACGTACAAGGACGCCCACATAGGAACCGGCCTAGTGCAAGCCCCCCACCGAGAAGTTTAAAAACTCCGGAGGGTGCTTTGCAGCTAACTAACTACCCTTGGCTGGATTGCCATCTATTTCTACGGTAAGACCCCCTTTGTGCATAGTCACCCCGTCAGTGTTCTGCTCGGTGCGTGCATGCTCGTCCCTGAGTGCCTTGTCGACGACAGGCACCAATTGGCAAGCCACGCTTTGATGTCGCCTGGGCCCTTTGCCATTTGCTCGTCAACGGTCGCTTGAAGATAAAAACACCAGCTCCGCTGGGATCAA